ACCTTTTTTTTTTTTTTTTTTTTTTTTGGTGACTGGTCAGTTCAGGCTGAACCCCGGACCTTGGTGTTATCAGCACCATGCTCTAACCAACTGAGCTAACCGGCCAACCCAAAAACCTTTCTGAAAGTTCTGAAATGATGTCGAAATTCTTTTTAAATAAAAAAAGAATTAACTGTGAATATCCTTTGGTTATAGTATCTGGGGGACTTCTTCATGTGTGTGTGTGTTTGCACGCTTTTCTAAATTCTGTGTGTGGGGGCTGGCCTGTGGTTCACTCGGGAGAGTGTGGTACTGATAACACCAAGGCCACGGGTTCGGATCCCATATAGGGATAGCCGGTTAGCTCACTGGGTGAGCGTGGTGCTGACAACACCAAGTCAAGGGTTAAGATCCCCTTACTGGTCATCTTTTTTAAAAAAAAAAAAATTCTGTGTGTGGAGTCATTTTAAGAAAAGGAGAAAAAACTTAAAAGGGCAAGGGAATCCGAAAGGAGCTTGAGCAACGAAGCTCAAAAGAGCAGTGAATCTGAAGGACAGCAAAATAAAGATGAGTATTCCCACCAAAAAGCATGAGGGGATGGGATGGGAAAAGAGAGCACCAGGGAATTTCTGTGGCATCAACTGGAAAATGAGTAAAGCATCCCTGGACTTCTTTGAATCCAAATACATTTTCAGGAGCACTCCTGCGTGCCAGGCTCAAAGCTAGATAACCCCGCCTCCCGTCCTCCGAGGCATGTCCTGCACACCAAGTGAGCTAGGGAAGGAAAAAGGGCCTTGAGAAATGGTACTATTCCCTTCCTATCTATAGCTTTTCTCTCTTGTTTCTATATGAACAGCATTGTTGTGGATGTATCTTTTATTATAAATCAAGTCAAACCATTTTTGTAATGACCAAAAACTATAGATAAATTATTATTTATTTCACCAAAGGTGACTATAACATCTTTACTGCCTTGTAATAAAATATGTCTGACTAATTAAAAACAAAATGGTCAGGATTAATAAAGTTTTAAAACATTCACAACAAAGCAACAATCTTACCTCTCTCCCGTTTGGTATCTAAAACATGTTCTCCTTCTGAGGGATGGCCCAGAATAGCAGTACTTACTGCAGCTCCCCAAGCACTGATTCTCTGTCATGCCTTTGTACGTATTTTTCTCTCTGCCTAGTATACATCTTAGTTCGGCAAAAATCTTTCCTATTTTAAGGTTTAGCCCATAAATTACTACCTCTGGAAGACTTCCCTGACTTGCAGGCTAAGTTATGTTCTCTCTCTTCTGTGCTCCCCAAATCCCCTACTATAGATGTTATAGATCTTATGATATTGGGCTCAAATCATTACTTTACACATCAGTCTCCTCCAGACTCTAAGATCCTCAAGGGAAAGGTTCATGTCTTGCTTGTTTAAGTACACCCAGTGCCCAGGACAGTACTGGACACATAGTAGCTATTCATTAGGTCCATTCAACAAACAGTATTGAGCACTTACTACATGCTAGGCACCGTGCGAGGCTCTGGGGATACGACGATGAATAAGGTACCTGCAGACTGACAAGTAAACCCACAATGAAAATACAGTGCTAAAAAGCAAGTGTGTATGGAGTTCCATGGAACAAGAGGAGTGTCTTATCCATGGGGTGGGGGGGAGAAAAGGGAATTCAGGGAAGTCTTCCAGGTAGAGATGGGACTGGAGCTAAGTCTTAAAGGGCATAGCATGTGCAATTCCTTGGAGGTTGGGAGCGCACAGCACATTGTGGCAGTATTTAAAATGGCTGGATCTTTAGGTGGGGGGTGGCAATGAGTGGAGAGGTTGGTAAGGAGGGAGGTGGAGAGAGATGATAGATAATTATCTCTTCACAAAGTGGACAAATTACAGAGAATCACTGCGACTTGACTGCAGCCTAGGATCAGCCAAAAAGCTCAAGTAAAACATCGTAGATGAAAATAACAGGGAAATTGACAAGTTATCCATCCATTAATCCAGGTGTTCCAACTTCTATTCCGAGGTTAACACATGTCATCAAAGCATTAAGTCCCTGCCCCATATTCTCTCGGTCCCTCACAGCCGAAAATAACAGGGAAATTGACAAGTTATCCATCCATTAATCCAGGTGTTCCAACTTCTATTCTGAGGTTAACACATGTCATCAAAGCATTAAGTCCCTGCCCCATATTCTCTCGGTCCCTCACAGCCGGAATGTCACATTATGTTCCCTCTCTTTATGGAAACTTTAATTAAACACTTTGAGATTGAATAAATAGGGTGGTACGGTGGGAAAGAGACACACAGTCCTGAGATCGAATCGTGACTTCACCACTTACCAGCTGTGTGTGTGGCCCTGAGCAAACGGAGCTTCAGTGTTCTTATTTGTAAAATGTAAATACTAATTCCTCCTCCCCAAGATTATTCTTAAGATGAAATGAATGAATGAACCTGACAGATAGTAATCATTCAAAAAGTGTTTGTTATCTTTTTGGATGGTGTTTCTGTTATCTTTTTTAAAATCAAGGTGGACAAACACGGATTTGACTCCTCTGCAGTTTGAAGTTTAGTCATCCTCCCCTCCCACATTCTGCCTGGACCAAGATCCCGTCCTAGTGGGTCCTGTGGAGGGCAGTCTATCCATCATGGTCAAGTCTACTTTCTATCAGGTGACTTATGGACGTAACAATCTCTCTCAAAGGCTGGGAGCACCTCACAGGGCCTTGTACTTCGTGGATGGGGAGAAACGACAGCTAAATTGAATTGTGGGCTCTTCACCCTGTCACTCGACTTTCTCAGGACCAAACACAATCACTTTCCATTAAGCGTTCGCTTAAGGAAAATGTTTTCCCTACAGGAGATTCTGTTTGCTTTTGTGGTATAAGAAATAGAACACTGGTAGCCTGATGCTTTTCTCTTTTGGCTTTTCTGCCAGGAACCTTTCAGCCAAATTTATAACCTAAGTGTTGAGCACTGTGATGCTCGGAAGTAACTACTACTGTTCTCATCTTTCAGACACCAAGTTC